GGACGTGCTTGGTGTCATTTGCAAATATGAAGGTTTCACAATGCCCTCTTTCCTTGAAACCATTTCTAAACATGAAATTAGCACAACTCATGAGACTTTTTAAAATCTAGATAGGTGTTATTTTACTCCTTCTTGTTACTTTCTCTGAAGCTGCTTTCTATCCAGGTAAAACTTTTCCCCAATTCTCAGGGTCTTGCTTCTTTTTAATAGCCTTTGATTTGAAAACTAATCAAAAGCTCTATAAAGTTTGTTAGGATCAGAGTTATGCTGGTTGAAGAACAGCTCTGTTGGGGAATGTTGGCCATGAGAGACTTTGTGATAAGCTCCAACTTGGGCAGATGCCATATGGTAGGAGAAACAGGACAGGCAGAAGAAACCCTTTTTGTTTACTGAGGCTTAACTTTGAATGTGCTCAGCATGGCTCTGCACAGCTAGGAAAGAAACAGCAGTCGTTAATAAATACAATGTCCTCTCTGGGCAAAAAAAAAAAATAATATATATATATATATTTTTGAGTTGGAGTCTCACTCTGTCACTCAGACTGGAGTGCAGTGGCCACTCCCAGCCACCGCAGCCTCACCTGCTGGGCTCCAGCAATCCTTCCGCCTCAGCCTTCCGAGTAACCAGAACTACAGGCGCGCGCTACCACGCCCGGCTAATTTTTGATTTATTGTAGAGATGAGGTCTCGCCAAGTTGCCCAGGCGGGTCTCGAACCCGCGGGCTCAGGCAATCCACTCACCTCAGCCTCCCAAAGGCACAGGATTGCAGGCTGAGCCACCGAGCCCGGCTCAAAAATATTTTTAATAGATGGAGAGCCAGCAAGAGGATCCTTGTGTGTGGGAAAAGTGCATATTTTGTAATATAAAAATCTGGGACTGAATCCTGACTGTACTATCTAATAGACCCGGAACTCACAAATTGCCTGAGAGTCCATTTTCTTCTCTATAAAATGGGAATCATGATGTCTTTCTCATGACTTGTTGTCAAAGTTTAATAGCATGACATGTAAAACAGAATGCCTGTTATCATGTAGCTAAATGTTGTAATGTTTAGGCTTTAATAATAGGTTCTATTAATCACAATACTACATGAGAGGGATCGGCAGTGGCAGGACACTGCCAGGGGAGAGAGAGAAGGGACACATAACATCACTAAGGGTACCTGATCTTAAACCAGGGGAAGTGAGGACCAGGGGGAGGCCCATAATTTACCTGTACTTAGACCACTTATGTATCTAATCCTGACTTGTACCCCACATTTTAAAAATAAAATAAAGAGGGAAAATAATAATAATAATAATAGGTTCTGCATGCAGAAGCTGCAATAAAAATGAAAAAGTAACATTTTTATATTCAAAGTATGAAGAGGAAGTCTGGTCAGTCCTTGATTTTCTCAGGCAAATAAGAAATAGTACCAGTGTTGATGGCATTGCCTCTGGATATTATAGAAAATGGAAGTGATAGGAGCTGTGCAGCCCTCAGCATCAGTCTACTGTGATATTATTCTGCCTGCATGTATTATTTCAGTGTTTTTTTTTGTCTCATTGTTTCTGGTTTGACAATACATTTCATTTGTCACTGTGGTTTTGCTCTTATAATAGAATATAAAGCACTAACTCTAGACAAGTTTTTGCTTGCAGGCATTACAGTAGATTCTGAAGCAAAACCCGACAGCAACATCCCTGCAAGTGGACAACATACTAAGAGCTAATATCTCCCGAGTTCTTATTGTATGTTTTGGGAAATAGATTTGGCTACAGGTGACAGAAACATTATAATAATGGCTTAAGATGGAAATATATTCCTCTCTAATGTAAAAGTCTGGGTTGATTGACAACTGTGTGATCTTGTTATGGAGGCTCCATTACAGCAGAGGTCTGGGCTCCTTATCTTTTGTTGCTCCACCATCTTGGGAGTTCAGCTTGCCACTATGCTCTCCTTGCAGCCTCTAAGAAATGAGAAAGGGTCAAAAAAAGGGACACCTCCTAATGCATTCGAGGCATGTTCTAGAGATTGCATATTATCGTTTCTTATGACATTCCAGTGGCCAACATTTAGTCTCATGACAAAACATAACCGCAAGTGACACTGAGAAATCAAGTCTTTAGTCTGAGTGGCCATGAGCCTAGCTAGATGTTCCACTAATAGAAAAGAAAGGGAGAACAATGATTGGGATACACAGCTCAGAATTGTCTATTCCACAATTACTATGTGTCAAGCTATACTGAACACTTACAAACATTGACTTTCTTAATTTCACAACAACTTTAGGAGGTTGTTTTACAGAAAGGGTATTTTGAAACACAGAAGGGTCAAATCTTCTTAAGTTTTGAAGTGCAGAGAAATTAAGTGATTATTTTAAGGTCTCTGAGGAAACAAGTGGCATAGTCAGGATTTAAAACCAGGTCGTCTGACATCAGACTGGGTCACTGTGTAATCCTTGCTTGCTCTTTAATCTCCTTTGGGCCTTGATGTTCTCTGCTAGATAAGATGATTTGAAAGCACCAAGGAATAAAGGGTGCTTTATAAGTTGTTTATTCATGGCCTCCTCTTCAAGGCAGCTAATTGCTTCTATTATAAAGTTCCTATCTTTTTTGGTGCAAAATGGTGTTCAGTACAATTTGGTCTAGACAGTGTAGCACACAAAAAAAATAATGCCACATAAATGTGACAGGAATTTTAATGAAATCAATTCCTGAATTTAAAGGAAGTATTTTTTACATGGAGCATGTTTTTATGATGGGGCAGATAAAACAAATTTGATATATCGCCAGAATATAAAAATGAAAAGACTATTATTCAGCAACAATCAAGATAATTCCTCTCTTCAGTCTTTGACATTTCAACTACATATAGGTCAATTCGTATGTTAATATGAATTCATCTATACAACAACAAGGAAAACTAAAGAATGGAAAACTACTGTAGATGGTCAGAGAAAGCCTCCCTTGGGAAGAAGCAGTAAAACTAAAATAAAAAGATAAATGGGAGCCAGCCAGATTAAGCATTCGGTTGTGTATTTATCAGTCAGGGTAGACTAAGTGATGCTGCAAACACAGTCCTAAACTATTAATTGGCTTAAAACATCAAAGGTTTCTCACTCATGCTACATATCCATAATAGGAAGTCTGGGTCAGCTTTTGCTTTTCTATTAATACATGCATGCAGCTGACATCCTTCCTCTCCTGCCTTTAAGGAGGATGCCATGCTGGAACTGCCTAGTCATTTTGCATAAGGATGATAAGCCACACTTTGAGCATCAGAATGAAAAGATACTGAGTTTTTATGTTTTTTTGTAGCTGAAATCATTCAGGCAACTAACTCTGGATTTCTTGTTATGTGGGGAAAAGAGAAGACATAAACTCATTGTTAAGCCTGTTACTTGGAACAAGACGCATTTCTAGCTTATGTGGAAGGCTTCCCTGTTTATGAGAAAGATGAGCAGATACTGTGTTTGCAGACCAGAAGGTCACTTTCCTCAGATAACTTCCTGAGGTTAGGCCAGCAATGCAGGAACCAAATGAGGTCCACCTTGCTTTGTAAATGCAGCTAGTAATACAAAGGGCAGAGACTTTCATCCTGTGTTTCTCTTCCAGTTCTCTTTAATTTCCTTTCCCCTTGGTACTGTTTCTTCAACTGTTTCTTTTCCTGATTGCAATTGCTCTCCCATTGCCCTTTTTCTGCCTCTTGAGTGTCTGAAAATGACTGTGTCCACTTAATATGATTTTCCTGAATGTGATTAAATTAGGTTACTTTCTAAGAGGAGTTTGAAAAATAAGTAAGCTCTTTCATATTTTGCACCAGCATTTGGAATGCTTCACAGCTTTCCTCATACGTGTCAGAGATAGCTGCCAGAATATTTGGGACCATTAGCACCAATTGCCTTTGTAATTGCTTAACTAGTGTGTTTGGACTTTTAAATTCTTACTTCCTTATGGCCTGATTTATATGGACCCTAAGTCCTTTCAGACTCTGAAACTGTGAACTGGATGAAAGCTGATTGCTAAATAAAGTCATGTTATGTAGAGCACAAAGAAAGATGCAATACAAATGTTTGACTAATTTATGACCATAATTTCTCCAAGTATTCTTAGCCACTATAGTTTAAGGAGCTAATCATAGAATCTTTTTCTAGGACAGCATATGCCTCTGAAATATCCCAGATTCCTCTTATTTTCTCAGTTTATTACTCTTTGGCCCACCAACCTACTCAAGGCTGCTATCTAAGATTTCTGTCTTTATCTACTTACTTTGGTCACTTTCTTTCTTTATCACTGTTGCATGAATTGCTGTAGGTTTGAGTAGGCGATGCTTTATTCCTCCTGTGCCCTAAGGTATTCAAACATCTGCCGCGATTTTACAAATAATACAACTGTAGTCTTTGAATGAGAACTCATTCTGTTATTTTAAAGCCTGTAGCTTTTACAAGATTTCAAAAATAAATTGTGTGGGACTTTTTTTATACTCCATTTCATGAGCCAGGTGCTCTCTTTGAGGACATAAGGGTACTTTGTGAGCTCTACATCAAGGATTAAGAAAACATATGCTGTGGATTTTTGTCATTTGTGTTTAGATAGACAAGAGAGTGGGAACTTAATGCTCTGTATAGCTGCCTGTTGTAACACATGAGTCATTATATGTCATTTTTCTCCTACTAACAATAATTGTAATGGAAATCCTTAGTAGTGCTCCAGTGTTATGATATCAAAGATATCCTGGAGATGTTATAGTAGAATGTGAAGGAGTATTAATAGCAAAATAATAGTTCTAGTAGAGGATGCCAAAATTCAAAAATAAAACATAAGACTTCTAGTTTTCAACTACTGATAGCAAATGATTGTTGATTCTGGAGGAAGAAATTGTATTTCCTGAAAGTACTTGGCTCTGACTCCTTGATTCAAATATTCTTCCAAATGAAAACATCCTTTAAATAAAGATAACTCTGCTCCTCTTGTTTTATTGTTGTTCTTATTAAATTACTTGCTTTTCTCTCCTTTCAGGAAACTGAAAAATGAACTCATAGAAGCAAAACGGAGAAGTGGGAAGACTCAACAGGAGACCAGCCGAGTCTGTGTTCATTGTCTGAGAAACCTGGGCCTAATCTTTGACCGGGGAGACCCGTGCCAGGCCTGCTCACTAAGGGTGTGTAGTGAGTGTCGGGTCGTGGGCCTCGATGGCAGCTGGAAGTGCACTGTCTGTGCCAAAGTCGCGTGAGTTTCTTGGCTTTTTGTGGAAAGTGGAGATTTAATGACTGACGGGATTGGAGTAGAGAGTAGGGTTAAAGTACAGCCCAACCATAGACTTAGCAATGCCTTGGCAGGTGTGTGTGTATGTGTGTGTGTGTGTGTGTGTGTGTGTGTGTGTGTGAGAGAGAGAGAGAGAGAGACAGAGACAGAGACAGAGAGGCAGAGATAGAGACAGAGAGAGAGAGAGAGAGAGAGAGAGAGAGAGAGAGGTAGATACAGAGAGAACAGTATATTTTAAATAGTAAAACTGGAAGCCACACAGAAACATATCCTGTTTTTATTATATTATCATTATTATTATTACTGTTATTATTATTATTATATTTTTAGAGACTACGTCTGGCTCTGTCATCCAGACTAGAGTACAGTGGTGCCATCATAGTTCACTGCAGCCTTGAACTCCTGAACTCAAGCCATTCACCCACTTCAGCCTTTCAAGTAGCTAGGACTACAGTAGCAAGCCCCTCACCTGGCTATTTTTTTTTTTTAAGAGGCTAGAATCTTGCTATGTTGTTCAGGCTAGTCTCAATCTCCTGACCTCAAGCAGTCCTCACACCTCAGCTTCCCAAAGTGCTGGGATTACAGGCACAAGCCACCGAGCCCAGCCACTCTTTCTGCATTTGAAAACCACCCATAAGCATACTTTCTCTCAGAGCCCCTCCTGGCTCCACATGGCTGCTCAGAAGACACAAACAATTTCTCTAAGACATTTTTAAATATTTGGGGTTACTGGCAAGATGAGTATCAAATGTTCTGCACATCAGCTAAAGAACAAAGCTGGCATAGTTCCTGAACTTCCTCCAAACTTCTCCTTGAGAAAGGACAAAGGGAGAAAAGCTTTCCGTTTGCTTCTTTAGACTATGGGAGTGTAGTGGGCACAGATTTTACTCTGCCTACTTTGGTGCAAGTCAAGAGTCATCATTTTCTTAGTTATATTAAACCAGAGTCTAACCATGATTTGGTATTTATAGTCCTGGGGCCTACCAATCACCCGTCCTTTTGAAATTTCCCCTAAATCAACTGGTATGTTTTTTCCTTCCCAACATCCGTTTGTGTCCTTTACCCTGAGAGATGTCTAAAAATCTCATCTCAAGGCAACTCAATCTGGTGATCTCTTTCCTGTGGTTGAGGTGAGGGATGCTGACATCACTATAGTCGATTGGTTTGATTTGTTTTTTTCCTCTCACTAACTCATTCTGTTGTAGGGGTTAAGAGGCTATCTTGGGAGAAAAAGTAAGTAGTGAAGTAGTAGGAGTGACCTTTCATTTTCAACTTCCCTGAATGAGAACGACTATTCTGAGGAAGACTCCTATATTCAGTGATTGCGTTATTCAACCAATGCTATTTTTTCTGTACTGTTGTATAAAGGTGACCCTGAACAGAGCAATTCAATACTGGATTGAAATAAGCAGTTTTAAAGAAATGAATCATTTACGTTCTTTTATTGCTTACTTTGGATGCATTGCTTTGATTTACTCAAGAAATAATTCTCAAATTTTGTCCCACATAATAAATTTCTTTAAGTATTTTCTTCCCGTCATTAGCAAACTTCTTTGCCAGATCCGTGAGACTGAACACTGATGAAATCATCGACATAAGGGTTTCAGTATAACTTTTTACCGATTTGAGGAAGTTCTTTATATATTCTACATACAAGCAATATTGTTACCTGTATTTCAGATATCTTCTCCCATCTTCCAACTTGACTTTCACTCTCTTATTGGTGCCCTTTGATGAACAAAAATCACTTTTATTAGTAGTTCAATTTGTTAATTTTTTTTTCCTGTATCTCGTTAAAGAAGACTTTCTTTAATTCCCAAATCATGAAAATATTCTCCTTTGCAATCTTCTGTAATTGTTAAGCTTTTATCATTTACTTTTGTACTTATAATACACCTGAAATTGATTTTTTGTGTATGCTGGTATTAGAAACTGCTATTTACATTTTTATATGAGGACTATGCAGTGTTTGACTTAAGTATTTTAGACATGTCTATTAAATTGTTTGTTAATTGTTGTCCAAATCCTCTACATACTTACAGATTTTTAAAAATCTGAATATTCAATCTGATATTGTTAAATGTATGCTAACTCTCTCAATAATGATCATGGATTTTCTGTTTATCTATTTGGTTCTGATTATATTTGCTTTATATATTTAGATATACTACATAGCTACCCATTCTGTAGTCCTTTATTCTTTGCTATATCTCTATGCTTCTATTAGAATAATTTTTCTTCTGCCTAAAATGTACCCTTTTTAGTTTTGTTAATGAAGAACACTCTCAATTTTTCTTAGCATGGCTTTATTTTACTCTTAATTTTCAAATATGTTTTCACTGGTATTGGATCCTAGGTTGGAAGTGATTAATTTTCAGTAATTTAAATGTTCTATTGACTTTTGGTTTCTAATGCTTCTGTTAGGAAATAAGTTATAAGTATTTCATTGCTCCTTTGGAAGTAATTTTGTCCTTTAACTACTTTTAATATTTTCTTCATTTCTGTTGGATTTTCAGCAGTTACTATAATGTGCCTAGGTCAGATTTTCTTTGTATCTGTCCATCTTGGGGTTTCTAGGACATCTTGAATCTGTTCCTTGATGTCTTTTGTCATATGGAAAAATTTCTCAGAAAATAGCTCTTTAGATTTTTTTTTCCTATATTATCTCTCTCCTATACTCTAGGTTTTCCAAATATGAATCTTAGTCCTAATCAACGTCTTTCATATATCTTTGTGCTTTTTTTGTTTTTTATCTTTTTATATCTCTAAATTCAGTTTGTACATTTTTGTCTGACTTATCTTCCAGTTCACAAATTCTGCCTTTAGCTATGTCTAATTTGCTGTTAAGCCCATCTACTTAACTCTTAAAGTTCTTGTGTTTTTTTAAGTTTTAGAAGTTTCATTTTGCTTCTGTTATGTTTTCTAACTCTCTGCTGACCTTCTCATTTTTTTCTTGAAATAAATATTTTTAGTTATTTTAAATACTGAATTATAGCTCTGTTATCTGGTCATGTCTTTCTTCCCATAAGTTTTGATTGATGACCAAGTATATGAAAAATGGCAAGGCATAGTGATATGCATCTATTGAGAATATGTTTTTCTTCTGAAAGAGAAATAGGATAGGATCACTGCATATGTAAGATTATCTTAATCTAGTCAGGGATTAAATTAATTTCAAAACTGAGTCTTCAGTTTCTCTAAGGGTTTATCTATTTCTGTATCACATTAACTCCTGGGGAATAGTCCTTCAGGGTCTCCTAACGTATCTATTATGTAAGAGAGGCAATTGGTTTTATATTTTATACATAGTGGAAACAAGAACACTAAGTTAGAATGTGTGCTAGTAAATATTAATGTTTTGGGGTTTTTTGTTTTTGTTTCTGGCTTATTCACTCATTTTTTCACTTAGCTTTCTCCCCACCAGACCCTGCCAAGATGAGATTTTTCCATTTCAGGGAAATGAAGAAAGAAATGGAATACTATAAGAAAGGAATTGGCAGTAGTGTGAAACTGCCAGGGGAGGAAGCAGGCAGGGGCACACTTCACCAGTAAGGGTACCTGATCTCAAATCAGGTTACATGGGGACCAAAGTGAGGCCCAAACTTTACCTGTACAATGACCATTTGTATACCTAACCCTGGATCATACCCCACATCTCTAAAATAAACATTTTTTAAAATTAAGAAATAAAGATAATGACAACAACAAAAACAAATGACTGATCTTTCAGCTATGGAGTCTGAGGACTTATGGTGAATTTCTCGATAACTATTTATCTAATTCTTAGGCAATACTATTTTATTTGATCATTAGTATTTATTCTTTTCCATTTATATTTCATTTCTGTTCATTCTCTTCTTTACACCCCAGACTCTCATTCACTCAAACAATAGTAACGAGGGTCTAATGACTCAAAAGCCCTTCAATCAATCTAGTTGTCTCAAGCTTCTGCATGCAGAGAAGAATTTTGTCCTTAACTTTTAAATAATACTAGTAATGACTGAAGAATACTTTTCAATACAAGACTCAAGGGATTTGTATATTCACATATTTTTCCATCAACTTATCTGTTAGTATGGATGGTAACTGGAGGTCTAATTCACTCAAACCTTCCCCATAACTCATGTCAGGTTAACTGTAGTTTGTATTAATGATAAATTAGTTTTTAACATGTTAAGTCAGTAAAATTTAAAGATTGTTACAGAAGCTAGCCTACCCAACCCAATACAATTCCTTCCTGTGTTTTCTCCCTTAATAGTTATATGCTTTATATTACTTATTTGATATCTTTTTTCCTCCATTAGAATGTCAGCTTCATAACCATGAGGGCTAGGGTTTTTATCTATACTGTTCACTGATATAGCTTTACTGTCTAAAAGAATGCCTATCGTAGGTACTTGATGCATATTTGTTAAGTGAATAGATAGATGTGGATAAACAAACAAATGAACAGATGAATGTATGAGTCAGTGGCAGGCTTCTGCTTAAAGAATTTCAACCTCAAGCAAGTGAAACAAAGGTAGAACAAATGTGAATTTCTTCTGTCAGGAACATGAAGTTAAAAAAAATAATGAGCCATTCCAAATACACTTACCCTCTGAACAAAGTAAAGTTTTAGCTGTCATAGAAAGATATAAGACAAGCTGTCATCAGAGAGTGTGAGAATAAATAACAACAAATTAAAAGTTCGGTGTCTTCCTTGGGACATATCGCATCGATACAGAACTTCTGAATCAACTGGAATCCTTTTTTTGGTGATACAATAATTTAATAAACCCAACCATTCACCTATCCAATTGACTCATCCATGGACCTATCCATCTATCTCTCCTACACATTTATTGATAACTTGTTGGCATACTAGGAACTAAGGATAAAAAGTTGTATAAATCATGGACTGCCCTCAATGATTGTACAGTATAAGAGGAAGATAAGTTTATTAAGATATTCTTTCATTTATGAAA